GGCCCTTTAAACACGATTCCTCATGTGGTGACCCAGCCATAACCTTATGTTCGCTGCTTCTTCATCACTGTCATGTTGCTGCTGTGATGAGTCGTCATGTAAATGTCTGATATGCAGGATGGTCTTAGGCGACCCCTATGAAAGGGTCATTGGACCGCCAAAGGGGTCGCGACCCACAGGTTGAGAACCACTGCTTCAGACGAACATGGAAATCCATGGGCTGAGTGAAGGGCTTCTGTCTCCATGGCATGGAAGGGCCTCGCCCAGTCACCTGAGGGCCCTTGAGAAAAACCCGCCTCTCAAGGAGAGGGCTCCTGCCACTCACACCTCCTGACCCCAGCCTGCCCACTACCTCGGACTCGCCAGCCTCTACAGTCCTCTCTCTCTCGCTCTCTCCCTCCCTTCCTCCCTTTCTCTCTCTCCCTCCCTTTCTCTCTCTCTCTCCAGTAAAGAACCCCCCAAACAAAGGCCACTCGTGAAAAAAATTATTTAAAGTAAAAAAATCTGAAGATAAAAAATATGAATAATAAACCAATAGCAAATACATATCTATGAATAATTACTTTAAATCTCTCTCTCTCCCTCTCCTGCCCCCCGTGAGTCGTGAGTCGAGTCGTAGGCTCAGGTATGGCGGCTGGGACTGGGAGTGGGGTCATTTGCACAGATGCAGTCATGGTTTTGCCAATAAAATTGGGACTAAACAGTCCTCACTTTTGTGATGTAACGAGCACACCAATTGTTGCTACGATTTCCAGGTGTCTCCGCGCCCCCAGGCAGCCCTGATCTGAGCTACAGGGAGACGAGGTTCTTGCCCCAGCAGCTCAGCCGCCACCTGGAGGGCGCGCGCAGGGCGCCCCAGGGACCAGGGACGTAGCGATAGGCGCCTGGCCGGGGCACCTGCGACTTCAGTGAATGAAGTGCTTCAGTGCCCTGATGCTCTGTGCGGGAACCGCCCGCGTTTGCAAAGGAAGAAACACAGGGTCCAGAAGCCGGTTCGGGTCCTGCAGCGGGTCTGCCCGGTGAGCCTGCGGCAAAGCCGGCGCCAGCGGCCAGCCCTGTGCCTCTCCGGCTCCTTTCCTGCCCCGTGGGC